CGGTGTCGAATCGTACTGTGGTCAATAGAGTATCACCCGATGAAATCCGACAATTGTTGATCGAAAATCGCGAATTGACGATAAGGGAGATAGCTGAGACCACCAACATATCATTCGGATCCGTACGCGAAGCTATCCGCAAAAAAAGATCTGCTTTGTGGGGCAACAACTCGTGGATTCTCCATGACGATAATGCGCCATCTCATAATGCGTTGATTATTCGTGAGTTTCTCGTCAAAAACAACACCAATACCATTCAACAACTGCCCAATTTATCTGATCTGGCACCATGTAACTTCTTCCTATTTGATCGTCTCAAAAAACCACTACGAGGAACTCGTGTGGAGGCAATAAAGCTAAAATCGCTGGAGGCACTAATGGCTATACCAAAAACCGACTTCCAGAAAAGCTTCAAGGGGTGGATCAAACGCTGGCACAAGTGCATCGCAGCCGACGAGAGACTACTTTGAAGGGGACAACTTGAATTTTGAAGAATAAACATGTACTTTTCTTTTTATGAATAAATTCCGGTTAGTTTGTGATCATGGTAGTATTCCTTTTTTGGACAAGTTAAGAAACCATTAAATATTTGCGTTTTCTATTAAATGTCTTGCATGTGTAACATGTATTGACAATAGTATAATACATTTTAAACCTGTAGGGTGATTTTTAAGTTAGGGTGAACACTGTACTATCTGCTTGTAGCAGCTCGTAACAGCGAAAAGCCGATCACTAGGCTTTCGGACGGTACTGTATTAAGTGTAAACAACAAGGGCATCTATAAATTAAAATTTATAAAAAACTAACAAATATATTATAATAAATAATTATAACAAAAATATAATACAAAATATATTTAAAAAAAAATTATTCCACAAATTATTTTTAAACTTTTTATCTGTCATTTTGTTGTTAAAAATTTTAACTTTAGATTCATACTCAGCGACTTAAAAAACTTTGGAATACTAACTTTTGTCTAAAATGAAGTACAATTTTATATTTTAACTTTTTTTGAGATCAGCCATTTTGTTTTTTAAACTTTTGACTTCAAATTTATAATTAACGACCTCAAAAACTTCGGGATACCAACTTTTGTCTAAATTTAAGTACAATTTTATATTTTGACCACATTTTTGAGATTTTGGACCACTGTGCGGCGTCGGCGGTGGCGATGGCGAAGATGGCGGCCGTGGATGCTGCCGGCGATGCTTGCCGGATCTGTACCGGCAGATACGGGCGGCTTATTGCCCGTATCTTCAGGCCAAGCGGTAGTCGGCGGCGTGCGACATCCGGAGCGGTGAGAGAGAACGGAATTTTTCCGTTTTCCGGCGCAGCTCTTCCTCCTGCGACTCTCGCTTAGGCCCGTCGAGATTTTCGTCGAGGTCCGAATCCCCGAAAAGCTCTTTTAGCTTTTGGCACCGTGATTTACCCGGCTTCGGATCCGGCGGCAGCGGGGCTTTCCTGACGAGTTAGCCGATGCTCTCAAAGAAAGTTTCCAGCGTCTCATCTCTTATTCCGGAATTGGCTCGGAGCATATTCTTGGAAGACATTTCGAGAAATGATAATCTCGCCTGCGGTGTCAGCCTTTTATACCCTTCATGTTGTTTATCACGAAGTGACTTTCCGCTGAGATTTGTATTTTGCCAATTTCAGCCGTTTGATTTTCTGGCTCGTTGTCATCACTGTCGGTATCGTTAGTTTCTGTCGGTAAGACCTTTTTTGAATCTTGAACGTGCCAGTGCCAATCATTTTGTCGGTCCTGCAGATCGGCAATCACTGACAATATGTAACGTTTTACAATTAACGGCCTGATGTATTGCGGAGCAAATTTAGCATTGAAACCGTCTGCTTTCTTTGACAATGGATGCACTCTCTTCCAAACTTGCTCTTTTATCTTTGGCCGCCAGTCGCGTTGGCGGAGATTATAATGCTGCGCCTGACGGTGGAACGTCCGTGCAAAGTGCATTTGCACAAGCTCAAACGCATCTTCTAATTTTTTCTGTAGGACATGCGGTACCACGGCGGTCGTTCTCTGCGGTCGGTCCTCGGCGTTCGGTCGGGCGAGCTCTCTTTCGTGATTTAAGTAAGCCGGTGAGTAGCCTGTTGCCTCGTGCCGCGCTGTGTTATACCTGAACTGTAAAGCTGGAATGCGTTTGTCCCACCGCCTTTGGCTGCGATTGATAAATTGAGAGACCATTGTCTTAATCAATCTGTTCGTTCGCTCGACCGGATTGCACTGCGGAGTACAAACTGGCGTGAAACAATGGCGGATGCCCATGCTCTGTAACATTTCGGTAAGCTGTTTAGATTTGAGCTGCGTGCCATTATCCGATATGATCTCGTCAGCAACCATGGCGAAGTACGATCTGCTTGTACAGTGTCGTGACAGCAGAACCGGTGGCTTTTCGGAGTGCTTTCAGTTCCACCCACTTGGTGAATCTGTTTTGCATCACAAAGAGCCAGATGCAAAATTTAAAATCCGGCGCCATGTTAGCATACAGTTGCTGAATTTGCTGTTTTGCTGAAAATCCTCCTGCCTAATGCATCTTTGTTAAAAATTCCGTCGCATAGGCTTTAAACGGCTCATTCTGTTTCTGCTTGCAATTGAGCATTTCTGTCGCGAGTTGCTCCCGGAACGTTGGCGACAGATATTGTCTTAAAAATTCCTCCCGGAAGTGCTGCCATGAATCAAAAAACAGTTTGTTATTGCGATACCACAAGAGAGCCTCTCCGCGCAGCAGAACTGACAAAAATTTAAGCAGCGCCTTGTCTGCCAGCTCGGCTGCCTCCGCAAGTTCTTCAATGTGCTCTAAGAATCTGAGAGAGTCTGTCCCGTCGAACTGCACCTCCCATTTCCGCACTTGGCTCAAGGCTTTCCCCGCTTCAACAATGAGCGGCGTGCTCACGGTTGGTTGGTAAGTCGCCGATAGCCCCAACACTCCATTTCTGTCAGAAGCGTACGTCAGATTTGCTGTGACATACATCCGTATCTTATGTCGCAAGTCGTCAATCGTACCTGTCGTGTCGATGCCTAATTGTGTTAGCTCGTTGATGAGCTCCTTCTTGGAAAGCGTCTGTATTCATGCTTTTATTATAAATCTGAGACAATGCAAAAAAATATCCACACAAAAAAACGAGAAAAAAACCGAAAGTCTATGAGATCCACAAGTCTGGCTGTGCTTTAGTCGTAGCAACTAGTCGTGACGTACGCCGTACCTAAAAAAAACAATCATAAATCACTCAGCGTCCTTCCACGTTAACTCTGTTCGGACGCCATGTAACGGTCTGACTTTTTACTGAGCCGGTTAATTTGGAGTAATTCTGTTATTTTATTTTTATGCTGCGGAGTAGCTCGTCGGATTAGGGTTTGCTAAAAAAGACTCAGAAAGACTCAGGTTTTATGCTTGTAAAAATAAACTATGATTAATTCAAGAAAAGCAATAGAATATAAAAACACACTTTTCATATATAAAAAAAAATAAAAAGAAAATAAAAGTAACAAAATATTTCGCAGTAATTGATATATAAGAACAAAAAACGTGATATATTATATTGCAATAATTTGTAAATACAGACACCAAAACTTTACGAGAAAACTTTACAAACTGGTGCAAAAGGTTTGGAGTCAATAACATTTAAAAAAAATCATTTCAACTATCGGTAATCTCTAAGCACAGAACGGATCTCAATCACTCGTTTTACTGAAACAATGTCCATATTTTAGATCGCAAACCTAACTATTATAAAAGATTAATTTCGGAGATGATTTACAGTAAAAAACAATCAAATGGTTTAAATTCGGTTATTAATTTGGAGTTACTTGACACCTCATATTTAACTTTGATTTCTACGCTGTAAGTCTCTTGGAAATAGTGGGGATAACAGTATATTTTTGCTTCCTTTTTTGTCGCCAGCATTTGACTACGTGTTACCAAGTAAGTGTTTAATTTGTGATTTTATTCTTGTGACGAAAACTACAAATCCTGTCTGTTCTCTATTATAGACTTTGAACCAAAAGGTAATACTACTCCACACACGTATTGAGGATGATACCTTTTTAAAACTTTTTTTCTACCATGTATATCTTGACTCTTTTAGTTACTTCATTTTGTTCTCATACATCTTTTCGTTTGGAGAAGACCCAAGTAAAGGTTGAAATATTACGGTTGCGTTTATATGTAAAAAATTGATATTATATCTTTTACTTAAAACATCTTTTTTAATGCTCGAATTTAACTTATTCTCTTTATTTTTTGGTTTTATACTTTCTCACGCGCACAGGATCGTCGACTCTGAATCGCGCCGATCTTGCGATTTTGACGTTGCTGTACACCGCGCAGAAGTCGCTTGCTCGAAGCCGGCGTTACGTCGATCGGTCGCGCGCCGCTGGTGCGATGCTTGCGTGCGTTGTACTCCGTCACAAGTCGCTGCAGGTCGTCGATATAGCAATACGATCCGTTTAGCGTGAACATTTTCCATATGTTGTTTTTGAGCCAGTGATGATAGATCGGGCCGGCCAGCACCAAGAGCACCGAAGTAGTGGAGGCATACACACAAGCGAGAACCGCCGTACGTGTGCGTGACGTCACGCTCGGCTGTTCGGCTCGTGGAAGAGCGCAGACATACTATGTTCTGCCTTGTTTCTACCAAGCCCGCTATGCGAGCAAAATACTAAGGCTAGAAAGACACGTTTCACGTACGCCTAAGGAAATCAACCGCCGCGACCGTAAACAGCACCGCGCCGGCGCAGAACTCTACTCGCGGGCCTGCGCGCACTGCACGCCGCTCCCCGGACCGCGCTCGGGCCGCCGCCGCGTATATGCGGCGGGCGAAATCGGCTCAGAGCACCATTCCTTTCCCGCTCTCCGAGGTGTTGACTCGGAAGCAACTCCTAGGTCTCTGAGGTGCTGACTCGGAACCGACAAACCCCTCCGAGGTGCTGACTCGGAGAATACCTGCTCCGATCTCTGAGGTGTTGACTCGAAATCACCGATCCTTCCTCCCGAAGTGTTGACTCGGGAGGAATCCTGACCGACATCCCTCCGAGGTGTTGACTCGGGTAGCCGATCCTGCCTCTCCGAGGTGTTGACTCGGGAGGATCCCGTACCGACCGTACCCGGGGCATTGACCCAGGTACACCAACCGTCCCATCGGCCGTTCTCACGGCCAACAATAGCCGTTTTCACGGCTCCCCGAAACAGCCGTTCTCACGGCTCACCTGGACATCTCTCGCTATTAGGTAGCAAACCCGCCACCGTAGACCGCGAGCACCACGTCGTGCCGCGACCCTCCGCGTCCGCGCACCGACGCCGATACGCGGATACGCGTTTCCGTAACCAGATACCCCTCGTTGTATATATTCGCGGCCTCCCCTCTTTAGTACGTAAGATTCCGATCCGTTACCGCGTCGACCGAGACCAAAATCAAAATTGTTGTCTGGAAAAATCCTAGACATTCGTCTCCTCGATTCTGTAGGCCGATAAGACTGCAGTTTCTGCATGAAAATTAAATCCAGTCAACAATAAAGAAAGTCAATGACATTGAACAACAAGCAAAGTCACTTGTTCCTTTTATAACACAAATACATGGAATGGAGGTCTCGGTTAAATACAGTCTGGCATTCACGATGATTGAAAATAAAGTTTGCAACGCGGTTTCAGGCACAAAATCTACTCTACGTTGTTATTTATGCAGAGCTACATTCAAGGAATTGAACAACATAGATGTGATTCTGCAAAAAGAAATCACTGATGAAACTAATTTACGGTTTGGAATGTCAACACTGCATGCCTGGATATGTTTCTTTGAATGCTGTTTGCATTTATCATACAAACTTACGGTTAAGAAATGGCAAGCACGCACTAAGGAGGAAAAAAAAGTAGAAGAACGCAAACGAATAATTCAAAAAGGATTCCGATCGCAATTAGGGCTAATTGTCGATAGTCCAAAGCCTGGTTATAGTACCACCAACAACGGAAATACAGCTCGTCGTTTTTTTGAAAACTCCAGTGTATCTGCTATAATACCAGGTGTTTCTGAATGTTTAATCAGACGGTTCTATGTAATTCTGAAGGCTATTTCAAGTGGTCATAATATTAAGTGCGACAAATTTCAAGAATATGCTGTGGAAACTGCGCGATTATATGTCGACTTATATCCATGATATTACATGCCGATTTCAATGAACAAACTTTTAATTCACGGGCCAGAAATAATAGCTTCCGCTTTGTTACCAATAGGGCAATTATCCGAGGATGCTCAGGAAGCACGAAATAGACATCAAAAGATTTTGTGAAGATTTCACAAAAGTGCACACAAGAAAAAACTATGAAAGATGTTTTCAACCGGCTGATGGTCACTTCTGATCCATATATTAAGTGTGAGAAAATTGCCACAGAAACCACTCAAATCATTATCGCCAGAAATCATTGAATTATTAGACTCTCCAACAGTCTATTCTGCAACAACGAATGACGAATATATCAGTTTTGATACTTCATCAAGTGAATGTTTCGACAAAACTGATTCTGATATACAATATGATTCTGACACACAAATTCAAGATTTTTGTTTTGTAACGGTCTTGCTTTTTCGCAAGAAAATATCCCGTTGTTTTGTGTCTTTTAAATTGTGCGGAGTAGCTCGTCGGATTCCAGGAACAGGTAAAGAGTGAGTGAACTCGGTAATTAAAAGAATTAACGAATTAAATTTATTCAATAAAACAAAACAATAAATAAAGAAATAATATGTACAAGAAAGAATATTGAGAATAATATGCTGCGGAATTTACCTCGGATTCTCCGAAATGCGGGCGAGTGAATCACGTTTTCAGCCGATTGGCTTGAGTCTATGTACAAAAACTAGACGGCTGGCTCTTTAAACGCGAAAGCCTCGGTCAAGGCTGCTCGGGAGCCTCGGCTAGATGTTTTGACGCGTGAGTGCCGTTGTATCGCTCGCAACGCAGGTTATCGCGAGAACTCTCTTTATTGTGAGGAAAGTCTCTTTTCACGAAAAGAGATTTACGGGCGGTCGGATCACTAACCGAGTTTTATCGGTTGCGAGGAAAATATCTACAATGCGGGAAAGTTACTTTTTCTTCCGAAAAAGTAACTTTGTCGTTTGACGCGATCTCGCGTCGCTAGGCTTATATTCACGCTTCGCTGATTCCCCTGAGGCGGCTCCAACGGAAAGAGAGCCGGTTTTCCCGGCGGAGAATTGAAAGATTCCCCGTGCGGAGCGGAACAGAGAGCCGGTTTTCCCGGCGGAAAATCGAAAGATTCCCCGAGCGGAGCGGGAAAGAGTGCCGGTTTTCCCGGCGGAGAATCGGAAGATTCCCCGAGCGGAGCGG